CTCTTAGTAAATTGCGCTGTTTTTTTTTTCTTGAATTGCAGATTGGAAGATTATGTCAGCTACTAAGAATTTGAGTGTACAGAGACAGGAAGAAGGAAGTTTAACTAGGACTTCTTATGCATGAGACTATGTTATACCAAAGCCTAAGACTAAACGTTAATATGGTTTATTTCAAGAAAAATAATCCAGCACCTGCTTCGCCCTTTTTACTGTCCTGGGACTTCAGATGAGAATCCAGAGTCCCTGTCATCATATCTGTATCCCTCTTCCAGAATTAATCCCTGTCCACCCATCTCCCCTCCCTACTCTACTCCCAACGCATCAGAGGTTGAAGCCTTGAACTCCAGTGTCTGCTGTCTCTCAGCCGGCCCAAGTGCAAAGTATAAATAGAAGCTCAGTGTCCCCCAAGAGGGAAGCAGGAAAGGAAGGATGGCAGTTGCTATTCTGAAGAATTAGTGAAAGGGGAGCCTCCCCCCAGCCCCCATCCCATCCCATCCCCAGCACAGCTTTGCTGGGGTTCTTGGACAGCAATAAAAGAAGGCCTCTCTACATTAATGCCAGTTCAAGTCCATGCCCAATGACTTACAAAGAGTAAGCCCATCGGTGTTAGCTAAATAAATAGATTGATAAATGGTTTAATTAATTGCCATAGTATTTATCAGAGGGTTAATGATGAGTGTGAAGCAAAACCTGGTTCCTAGTACCAAGAATTAAATGCAAAAGGGATTAGGCTTAGTATGTTAGAAAAGGCTGAGACACTCAAGGTTTTTTAAGTGTGTAAAGAATTGACAAGATTCCAGTGGAGGGGAAAATAAACTTAAATTGCAGGGATCTACAGCGTGAGATGGACTGTGGGAGTCCAGTATAAAATTGGAAGCAAAAGTACATGCGCTGACAGGGTAGCTTCTTCATGAGTATTGAAATGCAGTCTCAACTTACAACCCGTGCTAACTCGGGGTTCTTGATGACTCAAAGCTGAGAGGCTGCAAGCTAAGTCAGAGTCCATCAGAACTGTGTTCTGGGGTTATTCCCCAGGACTCTTCAGCAGCCTGCAGATGTGGTTCCTAAGGTAGACAGCACAGCATCCAGGTACACTTCCACCTGCTCAGAGGATTTCTTTCCACCTCAGGTCACAACTGTTCCCTTATGGAGCCAGGACTGGTTCTGCTAGACAAATGGTCTACACCCAAAGTAAGATTAACCCTGGTTGAAAGAGTTTCCTTTCCCAGCTTGGATTTCCCTTCCCTTCTCGGGTAGCACTTTTACTTTGGATCTCCCACCATGTTTGATTAGCTTTATGTTCTATTTACCTAGAGCCATGTGTCTGTCAGGGTACCAGATTTCTCCCCCTAGTACTTTCCATGCTGGTATGATTTACTCAAGAGAACTAAACGAGCCAGCCTTCTGACTTCACTCTAAGAGAAAGCATGGAATCTAGTGGAACCCAAGAAGCCAAGCTTGCAGTTGGCACAATTAGCAGTGCAATTACACAAAGCTTTCCTTTCTTACAGCCTATGTCCCTGGACGGTATTCTGCTACCTGGACATGGTGGTGCATATCTGTAACCCTAGCTTCTTAGCAAGCAGAGACAGGAAGATTCCATGTACAGGCTGTAAGACCCTGCCTTAAACTAAGTGATAAGCCAGTCACAAAAGACCACATATCGCATGATGGCATTTTTCTGAAATGTCCAGAATAGGCAAATTTGTACAGACAATAGATTAGTGATTGCCTAAGGCAGAAGTGGTGGAGGAGATGAGAGGAATGGGGTAGTGACTTCTAAAGCTATGAAGTTTCTTTGGGAATGATCAAAATGTTCTAAGATTGATAGTGGTAATGATTGATAAGCTCTGTGGGAGTATTAAAAGCTATTTAATTGTACAGCCTGTGAATTATAAAGTTCTTACCAAAAATATGGCTCTAAAGTCAGCTAGACATGGTAGTTCCCAGCAACTTGAGAGACAGAGGTGAGAAAAAGCAGAAGACCCTGTCTAAACACAAACTAAAGCAAAAAGGGCTTGGTGGTGTGACTCAAGTGGTAGAGCACTTGCCTAGCAAGCTTTAGGCTCCGAGTTCAAAACCCTAACAACACCACCAACCACGAAGTTAATGTTTTATCTTGTCAACCTATTTTTTTATGCAAGATAAGACTTAACTAATTTGACATTTCCGAATGCCAATTAAAAACAACATCTCAGGTCCTTTGTGGGACAAGCAGACTGTTTTCATAAAAATATGCTTAGGTGGTAGCAGAGTTCACTGGTCTGAAAAATGCACTTGAGCAGATAGAAGATGGCACAGATACATCAACCTTAAAGAATCATATCTTGTCTTGAGTCTCAACTGTTTTCCTGAAGGGATGGGGGAGGGGGTTGAGATTAGCGAAGCTTTCCTAGCAGTCCCTTGGGACAACATGTGGACGTAGTTTCTCACGTGAGCAGTGTGCCTACAAGGCTGTCCTGTTTCTAGACAGACTGATGTGATGATACCCTTTAGTGTCCACACTTGGCAATTGGAACTATGTTCCATTTTCCTTTGCAGAGCATACGGGGCAGCATGTGGCTGCTCTGGGAATAGAAAGACCCTGAAATAGAACAGCAAAGTGTGGCCATCTTTTATGATGCTGTCAGGTGCACCTAGTACCTGAAAAGAATCCCCGACTAACCTAGCCATGACAGGGGTTGGGGAGAGTGTTATTTCCTGCCAGAAGTTATTTCGCAGTGGATAATGGACTGAGGCATGATGATTGATGTATCATTGCTTGCGCTGACTGATTCAGTTAAATACAATGAATGTCTCTGCATTTATATTGCAGTGAAAAGAAAGTGGTGGGTTGAGTAGGATCATGTAAGCAACTGCCACCAACATAAGTAGACAGCTGTGTAAAAGGTGGGATGATTGAAGACATCTAATCACCTCCACCTACCAAGAAAATAATCTAGGAAAAACAAGAGAGAAAAGCAAACCATTGTTTCCCTAATTGCCAGAATATGAAAGGAGCTTATTCCACATTCTGAGTTAGCATTGGGTTCCAAGGTTCGCAAGAACCTTTCGGTGTTGAACTACACCTAAATAAATTATTGAGCCCCAGATAGAAGGAAAACTTCATTGTTCTACCTCCAACTCCAAAAGCTAAAGCCATCATGGGTGGTAAGGATGAGGATGGGCAGGTGAATTTCCCGTGCTGCCCCAACTCTGGTGAAGGTGCCCCCAGACACGAGCTAGAACAGCATTTCCCACAATGACTTTGGAACTATCAAACGTAGGGTTCAGAGGTAAGTGAAAAGGGGTGTAAGTCATTTCTCTCTAAGCAGGAAGGAGCCAGAGAAACAGAACTCGATCCTTTATACACTTCTCAAAGACCATGTTTCATTCATTTTTATATTCTCCAAAGTGTCTTCCAAAGTGCTTAGCACATAACATATGCTAAATAGATGTTTGTTGACTTCTTGAATAGTGAGTGATTGAACACATAAACGATTGCAGTTCCTTGTTTTTCCTCCCAGAATCCTCGTTTTTAAAATGTCTGATGGGAGTTTTGGAAACTTTGAAGTAAACTCAACAGATGAATCATGGTTTGCCTGATGCAAAAAGTAAACTAAGAAAAACTGTGATATTTAAAAATATAATCCTGCACATTACTGACTCTCATGCTGAAGTCATTTATCTGCCATCCAGGAAGTAACACTTTTCTAAATGGAAGCTTCAGCAAAGTAGTTCCTAACAAATCATGGAAACAATTGCCTTTCTTCTGTTTTCTTTACGGATTTTGTTTCCTGCAAAGTGAGCCTTCAGTGATTGAGTTTAACAAAAGCTCTAGGAAAATGTCATGGTAAAGAATACAGTAAGTCATCAGTCATTCCAACCTAACCAATCTGTTCAAACTAGGAAAAGTTTACTGAGGTAAATAACTTTCTAAGCACCATGATGGGGGAAAAAAAAGTTTTGCTCAGCCTTTCCCTCATTCAGATCCCAAGAAATCATGTCCTGCTTTGACTTTTTGGACTTAATCTAAAACTTGCCTTTGTAGTAAAGTATTGGTTCCTTGAACCAAACTGGCCCATTAGAAGATGTTTCTGGGGTGTGATATTCTCTCCGCATGCAAGGAAAAAACAGTGACCAGTGGAAAATGAGCAGTTCACATATTTGTTTTTATATGTCAGTGTCCTGGGTACAAGAATTTAAACTAACAAAGGGAATTTGTGACTCCATTATTTTGGACTACTATGGTGTTGAAGTATATATGATAATATCTCAAGTTGGCCCAAAAGTTTTAGATGGCCTAGTTTATTCTGCTTTAAACATCTTATTTTAGAAAAAGATCAGCAACACTTACCCTGGACACAAGAAACTAAGAACTCTGGGTTTCCATCTGTTTGATAGTTTTCAGTAGTACCATAGAGACCAACCCCCACCCAATGCCAGGATTTTTTAAATAATTTTATTAAGTGATTGTACCAGGGGCTACCATTTCATAAGTCAAGTAATGAGTATATTTCTATTTGGGGGACAATTTACCCCCTCTCTTACTTTTCCCCAGTTGTCCCCTTCCAAGGCCAGTTTGTTGTTGTTGTTTTACTTCAGAAATGCTTAAAAGATTTCCTAGGACCTTTCCAGCTATGAAGGTTTCTGAGTTCATTGCACGGGGTGACTTGACTCTAGCATTGATAGTCTTTTAAGAACAAGTTCTGAAAATAGTCTTATGAATGAGATTGTGCCATTCATGAGTCAGGGCACGGCAGCAGTTTCAAATCAACTTGCTTCATGGGACCCTGAGTCTTCCTGGCTGTTCCCCCTGCCCAGTGCACAGATTCTGGACCAGGGGCTCCAGCACTCTGAAGTCAAGGACTGGCCAATTGTTTGATTTCATTAAGTCTTTCTCTATCGTCAGCCTCCTCTTAGCAAACCATCTTGCTCCTGGCCAGGAGATGAGAAGGGGTATGGTGTATCTTTTCCCATGGTGGTGTTTTTTCACTGTTCTCTCTGTACCTCTCTCACAGGGTACATCCCCAGCTACTTAGACAAAGACGAGCTTTGTGTTGTGTGCGGGGACAAGGCTACAGGATATCACTACCGCTGCATCACCTGTGAAGGCTGTAAGGTAAGTGCCCATGTGTGCAGCACCCAGGTCCCTGCCCAGCCCCAATCCCCTACCAGGGCTCTACCAGTACTTGATATGAAACCAAGTGTCAGCAGTCATGGCCTGAGATCACCCAGGGGTCAGTGTCACTCTTCATTCCTGATGTGGTCAATATCTAAATTTTCTTTAGCCCAAATCATAAGCAAAGACATGAAACGTTGCTAGAATGTGATGTTTGGTTTCTTTACCTTTCTAAATGGCTTTTGTACAGAGAATAACATGAAATTAGTAAGAGTTTTGGTTTTAAAAGCCTGTGTCTTTCTCATTACAGTACATATTTTCTTCTCCTGTTTTCGCCTATAGATCTGATCTTTGGCAGGCTCTTTTCCCTTGTGAATTTGCATGAACTGGCCCATCTTTAAGGGTTCCCTTAGGAAATCTCTTTGAGGATATTTAGGTTCAATTATGTTCTGAAACTTATCCAAAGTGGCTTTCTGTGCAATCTGCTTTAAATATATCCTAGTCATCTACCAGGTAATTCTGTTCTCTGCAGACCTTTCTTGTGGAAATAACTTGACAAGAACATACCATTCCAGTCACTTCCAAAGGGAGGCTAAAAAATCCTACTGAAAAAGTTAAGCTTTATGAAAAATATCCCTTGCCCCTCAACCTAGACTAGAAAATAATTTGTCATGAGCATTAAAAAAAAAGTTTAATCTCATGCTTTACTCAGTATTCCGGCAGTATTTTACAAATGAGGATGAGGATGAAGATGTACTTCAAGTCAGAGTGATTATTTTCTTGTGGGATGTTATATTTGCCTCTTATATTTTAATTTTACTTATCAGAGCCATGCTATAATCTCAGCACTTGGAGGGCTGAGCAGTAGGATTATAAATTAGAGGCCAGCCTGGACTATATTGCATTTAGAGACAGTCTGATCTGCAGAGTTGAAATAGTCTCAAAAAAAAAACAAGGGCTAGCTGGGGGCTAGTGGCTCACGCCTATAAATCCTAGCTACTCATGAGGCTGAAATCTGAGGATTACAGTTGGAAGCCAGCCAGGACAGGAAAGTCCATGAGACTCTTAATCTCCAATAGACTGCTCAGAAAAAGCCAGAAATAGCACTGTGGTTCAAGTTGTAGAGCACTAGCCTTGAGCACAGAGAGGCTCAAGAACAGCGCCCAAGCCCAGGACTGGCCAAAAACAAACAAACAAACAAACAAAAACAAGGGCTGAGGACATAAATGAATGGTGGAGCTCTTTCGTAGCATGTACATTTAATCCTGGCAGGCCAACAATTTTATGTAGAGATGTTAGCCCTAAAGCAAAAATTTTCCTAAAATTTAGTACGACTCCACTTTCCCTCCTCCCTAGCCCACCTAAGAACTGAACTCATTTCTGGGTTTCCAAGGCCTTTTCTCTGCAATATGATGAAAACTTCCCATTCATCCAGATCCCTTAGATCTGCAATTTGCAGTTCTGTAACAAAGACTAGACTAAAGGTTGCTTGCTATGATGGCTCTGAAAATAATGTCTGCAGGGGTTTATACAAGCTGATTACAAGTAAATCTTGGCTATTCATTAGGAGACTAGCAGACTCTCTGTTGAAAGCAGTTTGTTGGTTTGATGTGCAATTAATAAAATTCTGTAGTTTTAGGTATATTTCTCTCATTCCCAAAGCCCACCCAGTAATTGAAACTGGCCTTTTCTTTTTCTTTTTTTGTTTCTAAGTTAGCACCAATTCATAAGTATTTACCTGGTTGGGCAACACTAAAATTCTTTTAAATCAGTTTCTTAGGATAAATGATGAGTTCTGGGAGAGAATCTAGTAAAAAGTCTATTTCATACTTAACTCCCCAGAGTGGCTCTACAGACTGACTGAATGCACTACCAGCAATTACCCTTAACAAAGGGAGGACTGAGCCTCTTAAACATGCTCAACTGAACTCAGCAAGCATCTCTGCGAGGACCAACAATATCTGGGGACCTGATTCAGCTGAGAGATTTATTTTCTTTATCTCTCTCCCACACTTTTATTCCTTGGTGGTATGAGGGTTTGAACTCAAAGCCTCATACTTGATAAGCAGGAGTTGGGCCATTTGAGCCACAATCCCAGCCCTTTTGGCTTTAGTTTGTTTTAGATAAGGTCTCACACTTTTGCCCAGGCCAGCCTTGGGAAATGATTATCTTATCTCTACCTCTCAAATGCCCAGGATTACCGGCTTATACCATCACCTTTGGTCCCTCAACTGAGATTTTCTTTAAAATTAGGTCTTTCCATCTCTGTGTCTTTGTTGCCAATCAGAATCCTGTTTCTAGATTGCCTCCAACATAAAACAAGAAAGGGCCTGGCCAGAGACAGAGTATACTTACTTAGTATAAAAACAGAACCTCTGGCCTGACACCAGTGGCTCACACCATAATCCTAGCTAATCAGAAGGCTGAGATCTAAGCGTCCTGGTTCGAAGCCAGCTCAGGCAAGAGAGTCCATAGACTTATTTTCAACTAACCAGAATAATTAGTGGAACTAACTATGAAGTGGAACTGTGGCTCAATTTAATAGAGTATTAGCCTTGAGCAGGGTGCAGACCCTGAATTCAAGCCCCAGAACCAGCACCAAAAACAAAAACAAAACAACAAAATAAAAAACCAGAGCATCCTAGGAAGAGATAAAGGTTTTTCAAATAAAATTTAGAAATAAAATAAAATGAAACGCATTCATGTACTGTCTATTTAAACCTGAAACTTAAAACTTCTATTTCTGCCGGGTGCTGGTGGCTCACGCCTGTAATCCTAGCTACTTAGGAGGCTGAGATCTGAGGATTGCAGTCCAAAGCCAGCCCTGGCAGGTAAAGTCGGTGAGATTCTTATCTTCAAAAACCCAGAAGTGGCGCTGTGGCTCAAGCAGTAGAGTGCTAGCCTTGAGCTGAAGAGCACAGGAGCAGCACCCAAGCCCCACAGATTCAAGCCCCACAACTGACAAAAAAAATTATTCTACTTCAAACAATAGGTATGGGTAGAATCTTTGCCCAATGAAATCTTTTGGAGATATTTTCTCTGTTGTGATACATACTAGCTTTTTAATGCATTTTTTGTAAGAAGAAAGGTTTTTTTTATTTGAAAGGAAGGTTTGTTACATTGCTCCATAATATACTCTTTCCTAAGAAAGACTCAGGCTTAACAGTTGTGCACATACTGAGCTAGGTGGGCAGTGCTTAGCTCCTTGTACTTCCAGTTAGTACTGTGTCTCAACCACTGAGAAATTGACCCAGTTCCTCCTCAGATGTGCAGAAATCCATCTGATGTTGACGTATAAATGCAGTCTGCTCATCAACAAGTCCTCATGTATTCAGGATGTCTGAACCTCATACTTGCTAAGAAAATGCTCTATCACTAAGTTCTCAACCCCTAAAAGGATTTAAGTAGATGGACATTTACTCTTAGGAGCTAATTTTCCTCATTGTTAAAAATCAAGGGAACCAGGCACCTGTGGTTCACGCCTGTAATCCTAGCTACTCAGGAGGCTGAGATCTGAGGATCTTGGTTCAAAGCCAGCCCGGGCAGGTAAGTCAGTGAGACTCTTATCTCCAATAAACTATTCAGAAAACCAGAAGTGGCACTGTGGCTCAAGTGGTAGAGTGTTAGCCTTCAACTGAAGAGCTGAGAGACAGCACCCAGGCCCAGAGTTCAGGCCCCATGACTGACAAAAAAAATCATGGGACTGGACTAGCAATGTGGCTTAGTGGTAGAGTGTTTGCCTAGCATACATGAAGCCCTGGGTTCAACTACTGTGTACCACATACACAGAAAAAGCTGGAAAAGGTTCTGTGGCTCAAGTGGCAGAGCATTAAGCCTTGAGCAAAAGAAGCTCAGGATCCCAGTCCACCTTCTAGTCTGAGGCTGGGCTTGGTATTTTAGTCCTTTGTTTCGTTGATTATGTCATTGAGTGTCTTGTTCATAATGTCGTCTGGAAGATAGAAGGATGTGAATGGCTTTGCAGCACTCTGTGCAGTACTGTGCCCCTCACAAGTGCTTGCTGTCATTATCAATTCCTGCTGCTGCAAGTCAAAGTTCAGTTGCTAGGACCCGGTGATCATGTCCAGAAAGATCCAGCATAACACCCTTGAGAATATTAATGTCCGTGGCTCAGATCTAGGACCAAATAGCATCAGAAAGAAAAAGAGAAGCATGGAGCTTGAAGGTAGGTCTATAGATCCTGGAAGAAAAGACAGTTATAAGAAGAAAATCCCAGATTCACTAAGCTAAGGTTCTGGGTAGAAAACATAGAATCCCACCCCCTATCCCTACACCTACCCCCTGCAAACTCTTATTTGAATAGTGGCTGGTCACAACCATGTCCAGAGTCAAAACAAAAAAAAAGTCTAAATGCAATAATTTTTACATGTTTAACTACTGGTAAAGTTATTAAAGTATTTGTGCCCACAGCTCTAGTTAGCAACATAATTATGAAACTCCAAATAATACATTATCACTCAATATATAGTATAGAAATACAAGCACTCAAGTCTTCCTTTGACATTTTTCTTGAATAAACATCAAAAATATGTTGACCCTACAGTCTTGAGACAATACCTTCAGTTTACATTGGGCTTACTATCCTATGTTTGAGGCTATAACTGGATATATTCAACTTAAGGTCCTAACACATTGAAGTCCAAGACCATTATATATTAATTATGTGGACACCAAACTACAGAATCACTTATTTTTAGAAAATATGAAACTGTTGTTTTGGGCCTTTTTCCCCCATATAGGGTTTCTTTAGAAGAACCATTCAGAAAAATCTCCATCCATCCTATTCCTGCAAATATGAAGGAAAATGTGTCATAGACAAAGTCACTCGAAATCAGTGCCAGGAATGTCGCTTTAAGAAATGCATCTATGTTGGCATGGCAACGGATTGTAAGTAGATTTCATTTGCTTCGTATTCAGGGAGCGTTGATTGGGGAAGAGTTTGGTTCAAGATCATCCAGGCAGGGAAAAAAAAAATCAGGAACTGGAGGATAGTGAGGGAATACTGGCTTTCCCCACCCCTTACCTCCTGCAGAGCGCTTCCACACCATCTCCTAATCCTCAGAGGTTCTAAGGGCTGATGGTAAAGCAGAAGGTTAGCAATGTAAGGTTATACTTTGGTGAGAGCCTCATGGGATAGTCTTCCTATTTTCTCAAAAGCATAGTCAGGAATTCATTTTATGGACCTTTTTTTTGAGAGGGTCATTGGCAGAAAACATGGTATTTGGCAATATCTGAAGAATTCCCTGTTGAATGTTACAACATGAGTCATCCCTCAGTTGGCTGCTTATTATATTTTTAGCTGACAACACTGGAGCTGAATCAGTTCTACCCAATTTTCAAAGTACCACATATTGGGGAAGATTCGCCATCAGGGGTCTCTTCTCCCCGACACTGCAGGAGATGTACACCAGTCACTTCAATTAATCTTAAAAAGAATCATGTCACTAGAAAGGTGTGACCCCTCTCTTGCCAGGCCAACAGTATATTAATGATTTTTATTGCCATAAATTTTTGCACACAAACGAGGGCTTCCAACTAGGAGTTAAAATTTTTGTAAAGAGTTAAAGCATTTTTCTCCCGATAGAAGAGGAAATACTCATGACTGGCAATTGTATGATAAATAGGAGTTTCTTGGAGAGAACAAAAACATCCATGGAATGTCCTCCTTTGCCCAAATAGGAAAATAGAATGGAGAGTCTTGGAAGAGGCTTGTGTTATTATTAGGATGTTAGGCTGGAAATCTTAGCCTACCTCCGGCTGAGTGTGCTCGTTATCTTTAGAGACTGTGGCTTTTGCCAACAGTGTTTCTGATAAGGATATGTGATTGTACAGCTTAGAACCAAATGCTTAGATATGTCACTAATAATGAGCCATTATTATTGGACATCCATTTCACCAAGAAGGTTAAGATATAAGTGTTTATGAGGTTAGTCTGCTGTGTACAAAGAGTGTGGGTGTCCTTGTTTGTGAGGTTAAGAGCTCAGAGTTTATAATCAGAAAAACTTCTGAGTCTCGCGCTTACTACTTGTGTGACCTCTAGAAAGAAGCCATAGGTGGTTGTGTCCAAGAACTGGATAACATATCAAGTGCAAGTGCAACACCCTCTGGTACAATAGAAGTATCTGGGGAAATGAGGCTGCAGCTACAATTATCCTCCTGTAAGACAGCCCAGGTGGAACAGTGTTCACTTGTAACTTCCCACATTTGTAAAAGCTTACATAGTTCTCTGGGGTCTAATATTCTATTTGCAGGACAGCTGAGGAGAGCTAGTCATCAGTAGAATGGCCATAAGATAATGACAGGGAGGAACTGGAGTCCTAGACCTTGCTGTATAACTTCAGGCAACTTCTGACCTCTCTGGATCAAGGTCCGCCCATGTGAGAGGAAAGAGATGAACTGTAATGCCTAAGCTCCCTTTTGACTCTAAAATGTGATGACTGGGTAACATAAAACCATTTCCATTGTAGTCCCAAGTCTGGTGGAATGGTTTTGTTTGGGAAATTAGCCATAGAAATATAGGTTTCTTATTACCTGCTCTCCTTCATTCCCTTGTGTACAAATGATAAACGTTGTGGCTACACTTACTGAGCACTTAGAGTGCGTGATCACATTGTATGCCATGTGCAGGGGGTAGTATCGCTCTCATTTCACAGAGGGTCAGGATTCAATACCAAATCTAATACAAAGATGGTACCTGCGAGGCTCAGCCACATCACAGTGAGCTAGAGGGAGCCATAAAAAGGTGAAATTTCCTTCCTGAGAGCCGTTCTAAGGGAAGAGGGAAGAACAACTCTTGAGAGTGAATTCACATGATGAGTAGACATGTCAACCTGTGACACTGTGAATGGTACGGGCTTAATTCTACCTCTCTCTGCTTCACTGTTGTTTGTGGCCGCCTTCGGTGGAGTTGAGGCAGCCGGTATTCAAGTTCCCTTGGAGCTTTTCTCTTAAAAGCTGGCTGGGCTTTGGGAACTCGGCTCCCATTGGACAGGGAATAGTCAGAGGGGGAAAGTGACTGAACTCCCATGCCTCAGTGCCAGCCAGGAGGCTGTGGCGTGTGTGATCCGCCAGGTGTCTTGCAAGCTTCCGTGTGCTTCTCACCTCTCCTTTCTCCAGTGGTGCTGGATGACAGCAAGAGGCTGGCCAAGAGGAAGCTGATAGAGGAGAACCGGGAGAAGAGGCGGCGGGAGGAGTTGCAGAAATCCATAGGGCACAAGCCCGAGCCCACAGATGAGGAGTGGGAGCTCATCAAGACCGTGACTGAAGCACACGTGGCCACCAATGCCCAGGGCAGCCACTGGAAGCAGAAACGGAAATTTCTGGTAAGGCTTCCCTGCAGAGCTCTCGTTGGCTCTATGCTCAGTCCAGCGGTTCCCACTCAACTCAGATTGGCCTCCTAACCCTGGGCTGCTGTTCTCTCTGCTCCATTTGAGCCATGGATAAACTAGATCAGAGAGAGGGGGAAGAAGAAAGATAGAGGGAAGGAATGGGGAGAAGGGGGAAAAGGAAAAGATGGGAAGGGGAGGGGAGAGAGGAGAAAGAAGGGTAAAAAAATCTTGCAGCGCTCTGATTGGAAGCAGGTCTGTGAGAGACAGAATAGCCACTCCTATTTGCACTATGATTCGCTGACTTTCAAAGTAGTTTCCAAAACCAGGTTACATTAGCTTACTACTGCTGTAGCGAAGGTCTTCAAAACCAACTACCTAGCAGAATTCATTACCTGCCAGCTTTCCCTTGGACGCTCATTTCCTCCCTCCTGTGACTGTACAATGACTTACCTTCTGTGCTTCTCCATGGTGGCCTGTCCCTTCAGGACCACCTCTATGATACAGGCCCCAGACTTCAGGTATATTTTTATGTCTTCAGCTTGGAAGAATGAATATGAGTCCAGGAAGACAATGGGCACGGGGGTGGGGAAGGGAGCCAGTGGAGAAAACAGACCTTTCCACAGCTGTGGAACACTGATGCTTTATATAGTGCTGGGTAGCTAGGGAAGCCCTTCGCATTCCTTTAAAGCACTGTGAAGTCCAGATGCCAGAGCCATGCAAGCCCAGCCCAAGGTATGGCAAGTGTCTGGCCCAGAAGCCAAGTCAGTTCTCCTGAGTGCAGGCTCTCTCTCTCTGCCTCATTATCTGGACCAGATAGGGCAGAGACGGATCCTCCTTCATGGGGGATGCGAAGCCCTTTGTGAGCCCGTGAACAGGACCTCACCAAGCCCTGCTCCGGTGGTCCGATTCCGTCCAGGACATGTCAGATTCCTCCCCATCTTAAGGAGGTAGGGTGATAAGCTAAAATAGAACAACTACTTGAAAGGAAGATTGGGGAGAGAAAAAAAAGCTTGCACCATAATTCACCTGCCCTAAGACAATTACCTTCATTTTTGTGGTATTGAAAAGATAATACTAACCCTCTGCTAATGGCCTTTACTCACAGTAAACCCTTAGCCTAGCACGTAGAAGTGCTGTCTACACGTTAAGCCCCCCCACCAACCCTATGACAAATACAGCAATATCTCCCCATAACAGCAGGATTTTCACACCTGCTGTGTGGAGAGTACAGCCACCTTCAGACTGGGCTCTGCTTACTTCTCTAAGCAGCCTCACCACCTACCCAAGCCTCAGAGGTCGCCGAAAGACACCAAGATGACCACTTAATGCCTTTACCTTGCATCCTTGCCAAAGCATTCAAAAATATTCATTCTGGACCAATGGACTCATGCTAACCCAACATATTTAGGACTTAGCAAGCAAGACCAAGCCCTGTAACCCTCCAACCTAAATCCATTGCACCAGGGAAAAAAAATCATTTTCAGTCTGTTGTTACCTTCAGGTTTCATGGGATAACCTGGCAGTGGAATCCCAGCTGAGTTGCATGCAGGAGAAAGGTCAGGGTATGCCCCAGACTTCTCCTAGGGAATTTTACAGCTATTTTCTTTACTCACAGAGACAGGGTGGGTACATTAAAAGTCCAAAACTAGTTTGGGTAGTTACTAAAAGGTGCTTCTTTCCAGACTGAAATATTTCCTAAGGAGCTCCCAGGTGCCAGGAAGTAAAGCAGCCACATTCCCGTGGCGGGAGACAGACAATTAGGGTTAAACGAGATAAATGCGGGCAAGTAAGGCAATAGTGTTTGTGAACTGAAGATAGAGATTCCCTTCCAATAATCAAATCGTCTAGAGAGAAAAAAAAGGGACATCTGAGCTATATATAGGGAAGCTGAAAATCCAAATTCATTTTTAAAAAATGGAACACAAATTTCTCCATGCCTCCAGGTCTCAGCAGAGACAGCACAATGTCAAGTAATGAGCATCAACCTCAAGGTCTACACTTTTAAAGGCCTTTGACTGGTCCAATACCTAAAGAAACAAGGTAGATCACAGAGCAATTGGCACTGCTCCGAGTCAGAGCCATGACAAGAATTGTCTTCAGGAAGCCGAGCAACGTTTGTACCTGTCCCTCTCCTTCCACCCATGAAACTGACATGAAATTGTCCCTCTTGATCGAACTATAACTGCTTACCCGTCTCCAGTCTTAGAGGCATGCTGGCGGAACCAGACTCCACTGTCTCCACAATGTGTTTGCTTTCCAGCAGCCAGTCACCCTTTCAGCCTACATCCTGTATCTCCTTCAGAGAAACCACATTCCATCAGTGACCCTTCAGAAGCAGCTACTATCACATTCTCTCCCATAGAGAATTCCTGTCACTCTTTCTCCTTGAATCTGGGCAAGTCTGATTCCTTTAAACAATCGATTTGGGCCAGAAAGATGCCTGAGTGGCATCAGACTCGAGTTTAAGCTTTGCTGTTCCCACTTGGGTCTCTTGGAATCTTATTTGACTTCCCCTGCCTCCAAGTGCTCAGAGCCCACCCAGAGGAAACCAAGGCAGAACATGCAGAAGGAGAGATTCCCAACCAACTCAGACATCAGCAAAACCTTCCGTGATACCAGCCTGTGCTGCCATCTGATGGCAGCTGTCTGGGAAATGCCAGGAAGAGCCCCACTCCAGCAGCGTCATAAATCCGTAGAACTCTGGGAGATCACTTTCTAAAATTGTAGTCATTAGGCTTTGGCGTAGTTATATTGCGATCGATAACCAGAACAGACTCCATAAATACTTAGAAACTGAACCTACAGTCTCACAAGCCCATCCTTAGAGAGCACATTTAAGCTCTGGCTAGTTTGCATATTGACAGGTACTCTGTGCAGAGGAGTGACTCTGATTGTATATTTATGCCCAGAATGAAAACTGTACTCTTTTGGGGAGTTCTTCCTCTGAGGAAATTCAGAATCCTTACCTAGAGATGGCTTCGCTCAATGGTATCTGTAGTCCAGAAGGTAACTTTGGGCAGAAGAGGCCACTGCAGTTACTTCCTTCATTTTTAGGTGATGTTCTATCTTATTCTCAAAAAACTTTTTTGAAAAGGCTATTACGTTAATAATATAATAACCTGTCACACAAGAATAAAAAGTATATGCTCTCGTAAAAGCTAGGAGTACACATTAATGGGTAAGTAGCCTCTTCCCAAAAGAAGCTACTCCGTCATTTTTCTCCTAGACCAAGATTCAAATCAGAGAAAGATGGGTGGTTTAACCTCAGTTTCACATCTATCTTTGGGAAAATGATACTTTAGCGAAAAATGAGGAACTTTGCAAGAGCCCACGTGGAGTTTCCTCATAAGTCTAAAGCCATGCTATAGAAATTATTCCCCCAAACCTTTAAATCATGCCAAATTCTAGTGTTCTACTCCAATCTCTGGACTTGAGATGGCAGAAATGCCCAGTTTTATCAACAATTTGTATATGTAAACAGTGATGAAGAAAAGAAGTAGCCTAAGGAGGAAGCAAGTAGCTCTGATGCCAAACAAGGAAAAGCCATCCTGCTCATCCAGGGGAAGGGGAACTTGCCCCTGTGCCCCCCAGGAGCAGCAAAGCATCAGCCACAATCTTGTCTGTGGACACTACTAGTCTTACCGTTTGTGAACACTACTATTCTTCCAGTGCATATGCAAAGGTGCCCTGGCTTTGGGTGCATGTCCTACCCAAGATAGAAATCACTGCCTGATTCCCTTCTTCCCATAAGAGAGGCATACATTGAAGGGAGGATCAGGATGATGAGTGATTTGGCCATATGTGGTCTGTGCAATCAAGTTGTGACTCCAGAGAATGCAGGGGAGACTAGATCAGAGGATGGACATTGGAACCAGACAGCCTGGGTCAGCAATTGCTTTTTAATTGTGTGCCCACAAGCAAGTTATGTCACCTGTCTAAGGCTCAGTTGTCTTGGGCCCTTATCAAATGGCATCAGAGTAAAAGAAAGGATCCAATAATGCCTCGCACATCAATCCCTACCATGACCACCTTCAGATCTCAGGAAAAGTAGGCGTCCAGAATCATGTCTCAAGGCCCAGGACTTGGAATCACCATTTTTCTAGGCCCCCTCCCCGAATTCAAGAAGACACCCACTGAACAATCAGGGGAAAGGCAGAGTCCATCTGGCCCCAGCCCACTCTGCCTATGCCAGAGAACTACCAGGTCAAGCCAAGAAGCCCTTGGCACTGAACCAGTCACTTGATCCAAAGCCATCTGGCAGCATTTCCTACTGCTCTAGAACAAGGCTGAGAAAACCATTAAAGGAGAAAACCCTCTGCCTTACATGGTCCTCTTCCACCCCCACTGGCCAGAGAAGCCACTCTGGATTCCTTGATCCACATCCAGCTCATCTTCGCCCACCCTCTGCAAAACATTTCTGTCCATCTGAACTTCCAACTCCATAGTCCAGCCCACTTCAGCTGAGCAAAGCAGCACAATGTCCAAAAGCACTGAAGTCATCTTATAGTTTTCTCTTAAGTTTTTTTTTTCTCCCAGATTCTTTCTTTGGCACAGCCCTTCCTCACACAGTAATGAATCTCCCCACGTCTCTCTCATTTTCAGCACTTTTGTGGACCCCTTCTGCATGTAGATTAAGTTTATCTCCCCATCCAATTTGATGAGCTCCCACCTCAATCTCATGCCATTGTTGGCCTTTACCAGTTCTGTCCTTCCTGACCTTGAGACTTTGTTTTGGTTTTTATTTTGGGTCCGGTTGTGGGCCTGAACTCTGAGCCTGGACGCTGCCCCTCAGCTCTTCAGCTCAAGGCTACTACTCTACCACTTGAGCCACAGCACCACTTCCGGCTTGTTTTTTGTTTTTTTTTTTTTTGCTTATGGGTGCTGAGGAATCGAACCCAGGGCCTCAAGCATGCAAGGCAAGCGCTCTACCACTGAGCCACCTTCCCAGCCCCAGCCTTGAGACTTTGCACTCGTTTCTTTCCCCTCTGCTTTACATGTTTCTCCTGCAGCTCTATGGAAGGCTTCCCCTTTATTCTTCCAGTCAAAACCCACACATTTCTCAGAGGACTTGACCTTAACCCAGCTCTTTACTCAGGTCACCTTCAGGCTTACCAAACTGAAACGCTTCAGTGAATGTATGTATTGCCTGGCTTTCCTCACTACACTGCAAGTTCCGCGATGATACATTGTTCACTGCTATAATCTTACAATGTAGATCTACACCTGGCCCCATCATACTTGCTCAGGAAATACAAGTTGAATAAATATTGTTTTTCCTACTCAGTAAGCTTTCTGTCCCCTGCTATTTGGCCCAACACCTTGTACACAACAGCAAACACACACTCTTTTTCTCCTCCATTTGAAAAGTTCATCTTTGATGTATAACTACCTACAAATACAAAGTGATATTTTTAACACCGTGGGCAGGATATGTATTCAGGTGAGGTCGACATTTTGAACTGAGGTCATCTGATAAGATATCTATAACACAGGACTTAAGTTGGGTCTAGAGAATGGTGTAGATTCTGGGGTAAAGAGATAGGAGAGAATGAAGTGGGGGGGGGGGCTTCAGAAAAAGGCAAAGTGGAAACATGTAAGGCAAATTATAGAAGAAATGTAGTGGGGTCAGCTGAGCTGGCTTGGGACATACAACTATGGTGCAGGAATGAAGTTAGGGTGAGAGTTGTAAGGGCTTCATAGGGAGATCGCGAACAGAGTAACGGAGTTCATTTATATGTTGTCCTTATAGGTGCAAACCGGGGGAGGGGGAGCAGTCACAACAAAGCTTCCCATACCTGGTATTAAAACCCTGTTCATTCATAGATTCCCCTTTATTTCTGTTTCGGATTTCCCCTTTTTTTCTATTTCTGAGATCCGCTATGGAAAGAAACCTTAATGATATAAAGGAAGGCTTTTCCTCTGTAGATAGTTTGACGTTTAGCCACTATATTTGCCACTTAAGATTCATAATAATGAACTTTTTCCTGCCCTGACATATTTATCAATGGAAATGTTTGTAAAGTGATATCTGAGACGTTACTTCAGTTGAAGTTGCCTTATTTCCTTGCATAATTTCACTTCTTTCAAATCTTTGGAGAGATCACAGGTCATGACTGAAATACCCTATGTACCCACAGATTGAATAGAAACGATTACAAATCCATTTTAACTCTTGAGGACACTGTATTTTCCATTCAAATGCAATCAGATTAGACCTAACCGTAGTCCACCGGGAGACGTTTGGATCAGCTAAGCCCAAACCATGTTATTCTCTAAAAATGGTCCTACAATTACATATTAGTGAGTTTCTTAGAATGTGCCACATTCCTTTTAGCTGCTGATCCTCACGATAGCCTTGTAAAGTACATGAAGAGGAAGCGAACTTCATGCACATGGTAACAGAATGCAGGGAATAGCATCACCCGTGGCAGAAAAGGAGAGGGGAGCCGTACCCATGGTTTTTCCAGGCATTCCAACCATTGCCAGTCACTTCACTACCAAAACAGGACAGAACCCAAGTCCCGTCCACTCACCATAATCCAAACAAACAATACAAATCAACAGAAGCCCACCTGGATAATGCAAAGTGTTTGCTAACATTATATGGCATGATTCCCGGTCAGCCAAAGCAGGCTCCTCCCACAGCCATGCAGGGCCTGGCTGTTCCAGGCTACCCTGGTATGCTGGCAGCTTAACAGTGAGAATCATCTGCTTTCTTCCTATTGGCAGTTAATGGGATGTGTGGGAAGAAAAATGGATGCTGATCTTTCTGAGCTGGATTTGGTTACTGCCCGTCCAATGCCCTCAACACCAGCTGCAATGTAGCCTTCAAACTTGTCAGAAATGTGGTTTCTCTCGCCCTTCCCTGCCCCATCAGAAACAGGAAGAAAGGCCTGGAAATCTGGTGATTGTCAAGCTTAGGAAGTTGGGGGCCAGGGTCTTGCCTCAATGTCCTGCTCCACTCATTCCTAGCATCAGTTCCTCTTTTCCTCCTTCCGTTGCTCTCCCTACCCCATCCCCCAGGTGCCTGAAGAAGGTCAGGCCTTGTTCCTGTCTACTCACTGTTAGCTCAAGGCAAAAATGGCCACCACTGAGCAGGCTGTGAGTCTCTGTGATCTCTCTAGTGACATTCACCATCTCCTAGAGGAAAGCTGGAGAAGTTGGCAAGAACAGCATGGAGAGTAGGCTAGAGTGCACTGTCAGGAGTCCCGGGATGGAGGGGTGACAGACAACCCCTTGAAAGGCTCCAAGGCCCTGTAAGATGTGCTCACCTGCCCCATGTGGGCTTCAATGAGGGCCACCTAAGAGTATGTGCAGGGGTAGCTCAAAAATCACCACCACATGTAAGTGGTGGCTGTGTCACAAGCACAAGCAAGGTCAAAAACCGCAGAGAAGCCAACTTCCACAAGCAACAAAGGTGACAGCAGGAAATAGGAAATGCTGACGATGCACCATCCCATCCAGGGAGGGCCTGGGAGTTTCCTCAGTTGATGCCCACGCTGCCAGTCCCCTTTGACCTGCCAGGCCATAGATTCTTCTTGAACAAGTAAATAGCAGACACTAGTAAAACTTCCATTCTGTTCTGAGGCTTACACAACTCCAGCCATGAGATCATCCCCTTAGCTCTCCACTGACACCATTTTAAGCAGGGTCTATGATGGTAGAGAAGGAACTTAAGACCCAGTTGCTGGATCCAAAGCAAGAATGGCCCACCCAACCCGTACCCCCTCCCCCAATCTACACTGTTCGCACTTCCTGTAAACTAATACACCAGTGTGCAGCACTCTGAAAATGTCACCCCAGAGCCCCAGAATGGATATCACTCCTATGCTAGGAGAAATAGAACCTCCAAGTCTCTACCCTCCCTTTTCCTATATTCTCTGTCTCTGTCTCTGTCTCTGTCTCTCTGTGTCTCTCTATCTCTCTCTCTATCTCTCTCTATCTCTCTCTCTCTCTCACACACACACACACACGCACACACACACACACACACACACACACACACATACACACAGTGTTTTTAACTCAGGACTTCATACTTGGTTGGCAAGTGCTCTATAACTTGAGCTTTGCCTCAATAATAGTTTTGTGTGCCAGTCCTGGGGCTTGAGCTTAGGGCCTGGGTGCTGTCCCTGAGCTTTTTTGTTCAAAGCTAGCACTCTGCCACTTGGACCATAACTCCACTTCTGACTCCTTGGTGGTTAATTGGAGATAGTCTCATGGACTTTCCTGTCAGGCTGGCTTTGAACCATGATCCTCAGGTGTTAGCCTCCTGAGTAGCTAGAATTACAGATGTGAGCCATTGGCAGCTGGCTTGTTTTTCAGATGGATTCTTGCTTCTTTTCCTTGAGCAGGTGAGCCACAGACCATGAGCCTCCTACCCCCACCTCCCTCATAGCTAAGGTTACAGATATGCATGCTCCACCACACCTGGTTCTCCACACCTTCTCCTCTTTTCCTCCTTTCCTCTCTCTCTCCAGCACCAATCTCGTGAACATTATTACCGAGGCCTACTAAAGCAATAGCCAAGACATATAACTTGGCTCAATGATGAATGCTGTGAGAACTAATCCATTTGTTAATGGGCAAAGTGGAAATAAAAAACCATAGCTGGACGTCAACTCAGAAGTGATTTTCTGCCATGTGAGAACAATAGTAAGCCCGGCTTTCCTCCACATCTGAAGTCACTTTTGCTTCTCCCCCACAGCCAGAAGACATTGGACAAGCACCAATAGTAAACGCCCCAGAAGGCGGGAAGGTGGACTTGGAAGCCTTCAGCCATTTTACAAAAATCATCACACCAGCGATCACCAGAGTGGTGGATTTTGCCAAAAAGTTGCCTATGTTTTGTGAGGTGAGGACATTGTTTTTCCTTCTGCATTATATGTCATCATAGTCCCATCAGTTTCCAGGAATTGTGGCTATTGTTTATAATAAATAATTCTGCTGTGAACTAGCAAGGCTTAGTCGTTTGAAAGCAGTTAGTACAAAGTAGAAATACACTTCATTTATGTTTCTCACCTTCTCTCTTTTTTTTTCTGTCAGTCATGGGACCTGATGTCCCTCAGCTCTTCAGCTCAAGGCTAGCACTCTATCACTTGAGCCATAGCACCACTTCTGGCTTTTTCTGTTTATGTGGTACTAAGGAATCGAACCCAGGGCCTCATGCATACAAGGCAAGCACTCCACCACTGAGCACCTTCTCAGTCTTACCTTCTCTACTTAGTCATCATTCCTTAGTTTGTCTTTGTGGCAGGCATCCTCCAAATGCCCACCAGAAATGCTCATTAAAAAATGTAAAGTTAAAGCAGGATGCTGGTGACTCACGCCTAGCTTCACAGGAAGCTGAGGTCTGAGGATTATGGTACAAAGCCAGCCCAGGCATAAAAGAAGTCTGTGAGACTCTAATTTCCAATTAGCTACCCAAAAAAGGCTAAAAGTAGACCTGTGGCTCAAGTAGTAGATCACTAGCCTTGAGCAAAAATGCTCAGGTATAGCACTAAGCCCTGAGTTCAAGCCCCAGGTCCAGCAATAATAATAATAATATCGCTTATATAAACCAACCACTGAAAGAGAAAATTCAGTGAGAGGGGAAGGAGGAGGAAGATGAAGAGAACAGCAAAGACACACATTTCCAATCCCAGACTCCTGAGCACCCACCAGCCTTATAATCTTATACACACACCCCCTCCCTGAGGGTAATGAATTATGAGTAAACTGTGGGATGGAGATCCAGGTGGCCTTGGAGCTGGTGGACTCTTGCCAAATGCAGTTTGGTGCATCTGCAGTTCAAACTGTGTCTGTGGATTACTCTGCTAAGATTCTGCCCACTTACCAAGGAAGGCTGATGTGACAGCAAGCCTCTGTGAGAGCTATATCTGTTGCCAGTAGAACAGCCAAAATAACACTTGAGAACCACTCCCAGAGTATACTGTCTATGCGCATTAGCCTGAGTGATTCTGTTCTAAGGAGACAGGAAAGCCGTGGGAGGCCCCCTGCTTCTCCCCTCTGCCTGTCAGGCCCTTGCTGGATTGTTCTCACAATGAAGACGTGTGGCAGGTGCCACAGAGATTATTTGCCATGTGTTGAAACAAATCTCATCAGGACCCTGTAAACTCCTTAAGGAAAAAGGCATTTGGCCCAGTTACTAAGCCCCTGGTGATCCTTTGCAAATACTCATTCCGCTTTTATTTAAATATGAACTAGTCATCAACAGTTAGGTTTTAAAAAAAGAAGAAGAAGAAGACTTCTACTTACTTCATCTATAAGAAGACCTAATTTCAAAGGTGGGCCCACCAGAGTTTGCATACGTTTTGAAAGATAAATAAAGTAGTTTGATCCAATTAGAAATTTTCATTGCTCTTCTATTCCAGGGGTTCTCAAGAGTGAGTCCAGGCTGGGGGAGGGAGGGGGGCACCAAGCAGGAGCTCATGCCTATAATCTCTAGTTACTTGGGCAGCAAAGACAGGAAGATCACCATTGTAGGCCAGCCAAGACCCCCCCCAAAAAAATTAGCAAAACCCCATCACAAATGAACAAGCTTTTAGCTATGCTGGAGGAGGTAAGAGGGTCACTCAGGCCAAAAGCACAAGACCCTTTATGGAAAAAAAAACCACTAAATTCAAAGGGCTGTAGATGCCACTCAAGCAGTAAAGCACCTGCCTAGGAAGCTCAGGACCCTGAGTTCAAATCCCTGTACCATATACATACACACTCTCTCTCTCTCTCTCTCTCTCTCTCTCTCTCTCTCTCTCTCTCTCTCTCTCAGTGATAGTAAGGTCCACATAACTGCCACAGAAGTATTACTTGAGAATCTGGAGAAGTGCAGACAACCGTAGGTAGGGCCGGTGAACTTCAAGAGGCCTCAGATGATCCTGAAGGGGCTAAAATGGAGAACCTGGGGCTTGGGTGGTCAGCTGTACCCACAACAGCCTCTTCTCTCATCTGCAGAGGCCTTCATTGAGCACAGGATTCCTGCTTCCTGCCATACTCTTGAGCAGAAACCTAAGGCTATAATTGAGGAGGTCAAGTTAAAACCTAAACAAAAGTAAATCGCCGTCATTTCTCAACATGGGTGGAAGAAGAGAATGTGTGTACAGATCCCAGAACCAAATGACTTTTATTCTGTAGGAAAATATATGCAATATGAAACAGTAAGGTGACTGTGCTGAGCTGGTAAAAGCTAGGAACAGTCAGCAAAGGAGATCGGGCTTCAGCTCATCTACACAGTAACCTACTGGAACAGCTCAAAATTGCCAAGAACATTTTCCAGAAAGGAGTTGTTAGCACCTATATGAAAAGGTAGATGTTATGTATCATTTACATAAATGAAACTTATTGAAACTAATCACATCCATGATACTTTAAAAAAAAAAAAGTGTCTTCTCGGGCTGGGAAGGTGGCTCAGTGGTAGAGTGCTTGCCTTGCATGCATGAGGCCCTAGGTTCAATTCCTCAGCACCACATAAGCAGAAAAAGCCAGAAGTGCACTGTGGCTCAAGTGGAGAGCACTAGCCTTGAGCTGAAGAGCTGAGGGACAGCACCCAGGCCCAGAGTTCAGGCTCCATGACCGACAAAAAAAAAAAGTGTATTCTCTTCTCTGGGCCTTGAATTCTGACAGAGCTGGCTTCAAATTCTAGTTTAATCCTACAAAACTTTCATGTAATTCTAGCACACTATCCTCTCAGGGACTGACATTTAACATCTATAAGTAAATTGGAGTTAGAATGTTTCCCTTACTATACTCAGGTGCCAATAGCTCACACCTGTAATCCTAGCTACTCAAGAGGCTAAGATCTGAGGAGAAGGATTCAAAGCCAGCCCTGAAAAGAAAGAGGTGTGTAAATCTTGTCATGATGCTCAGTTCATGAAAAATAGTTATTAACTAAGAGCTTTTCACGTGAGTTTGACAATAATATTTAAACTTTTGCCTCCTCCAGAAAAATACATTTCTATTTTTTATCTTGCTTAGTGTCGCCATTCTCTTTTAATGTTTATTATTAATTTTATCCCATTATCACAAATCCTAATTAACAGAGTAAGCAAATGAGCTTACAGTGAGATTGCAACACTATCAAAAGACCTAATGGTGCTAAGCAATTCTAGTGTCAGTTACTATAAAGAACATAACCAAAAGAGCCGTGAAGTTTGAATTCTGGTCTTACGAATGCCCTTCCCTCACTGAGCAACATTGGGAGAACCTTTTCTATCTCTGGACCTTGTTTCTAGTTTGCATCAATGATCTTCTAATTCTGTGCCTTTGAATAGACTCAAGAAAGAAAGTTGCTCCCCAAAAAAATGAAGCATTGTTGCTAGCTAAACGGTGAGTCTGCTGTTAACTCTAGGCGGCCCAGGACAAAAATTAGTGAGTTTAGCAAAAACCCTGTTCCCATGCAGTTCTCACACAGAGGCCTAACCCCAAAGGAAGGGTTAGTCACAGTTTCAGTGGGACACTGCGATCTGTCATAAAAAGAATGCCAAGTACTAAGATGAAAGTTAGCGAAAAGCACAATCAAATTCAGGTTTAAAAAGTGGTGGTTAAAAGTCTGCCACCCAATAGGGGAAAGGAGAGGCTTAGGCTCCGAGAACGCAGGACGAATGTTACTGCTTGTGGCTGGCAGCCATCCCGTGCTTTGCTCATGTGGCTGCTTCTTTCTAGCTGCCATGCGAAGACCAGATCATCCTCCTCAAAGGCTGCTGCATGGAGATCATGTCCCTCCGAGCCGCTGTGCGCTATGACCCAGAAAGTGAGACTTTAACCTTGAATGGGGAAATGGCCGTGACACGGGGCCAGCTGAAAAACGGAGGTCTTGGGGTGGTGTCAGATGCCATCTTCGACCTGGGCATGTCTCTGTCGTCTTTCAATCTGGATGATACGGAAGTCGCCCTTCTTCAGGCCGTCCTGCTGATGTCCTCAGGTGAGTGTGCCTAGCCTCACCGTGGACAGACAAAAGAAACAAAAGCCTTTGTTTGTCTGGCACTAAGTCAAATCACTCAAGGCGCTTTCAATCCCTGCTCACTCTCCTTTAGCAAGAAATGAAGGGGTCTGCCAGGGGGCTGGAAACTGAACAAGGGTGTCAGGTATCTGATGCTTTTTACAATGCCCCCAGGGCTGTGGGAAGAAACCAAAGAAGGTATCTGGAGCTCCATGAAATGACCTGCCTCCAGCAGACATGACCCAGCCTGTTTTGTAGCCAGCTCTGCCGCCTTCTGGTTCTGTGTATATGAGATAGAGATATGAATGGCCATGTCATTGCCTGTTAAGTTCTGTGTGTGGAAACAGTTCCAATTAAGTTTTTCTATTACAAAACTTAAGTGCATGAGACATCCAAGATGGCTGAAGTTAGGGATGGGTCTTAGAACACAGCTTTGCCCTCCTCTCTACTCAGCCTTTCATCTTAGAAGGTCATCAGACTTCTTCCCCAGCTGTTGGCTTTTGTGAGGGAATGTTGGGAGCACATGAAAGTTGCAGGCCCAGTCCTAAGTCATGCATTCACCTGGGCCAACCAGTCCTAGCTCCTGCCCTGTCTCAGCAACCCACCACCAGATGGAGTCGTAAAGAAATGTGCAAGCCACCACAGTTTCTTGTCAAAACTGTAAGGATTAAGTGATGATGATGATGATGATGATGATGATGGCATTTCTTTGTTGTTCATGTCATAAGAAATATAAAACACACTGCAGTATATAAGGGAAGTTAGTCTTTAGCTAGCAGTGGTTTCTGAGCACTTTCAACATTCTCTTTGATGATCAACATTCCTTCTATAATTCCTGCTTGTCTATCTCCCATGGAAGGACCTGTCTTCTGATGTCACAAATGTGTCTGATTCCACTGGCCTACCCTAGGACAGTGTTCTGTAAGATTCAATGAATGTTTATTAGCTGACTACAGGAATAAAATAGCAGCCAGAAGTATGCTGAGAGTCCTCTATGGACTTGAGGCTCAGAGTTCTTAAGCTGACCTAGAAATTTATTTGCTACAGGAAATTGAGTTATAGCAGACTTTTTTGGAAAAGTTTTTTTCAATTATTTGTTGTGAAAAATCTCAGATATAAATAGATGGCCTAGCACAATGAATCATCTTGGAGACTGGTGGACAGACCCTATGCAGGGCCCCCTTTTCGCACCTTCTGGTTCAAACCCTCTTATAAACCTCCCCTTCTATGTATGCAGAACCTGTGGCTTGCCAATTCACTGCCACCTCACCTTTTATCTTTCAGAAGGTTTATTATTTTAGAAAGTTTTTTTTTCATTTGCATGATAGTCTTCCATTCATGGCAAGAAATTTTGATTACTGGGTGATCACAGTGTTTCCTCTGTCATGTGCCAATTCAACAGATGGTTAAGAAAATAACTGCCTTAAGTAAGGTTGATAAAAGGAAGAATTGGTAATTGCCAATGTGTTAGCTTTCTGCCACTGTGACAAATACCTGAAAGAATCAACTCTAGGAAAAAAGGCTAGCTGTGGCAATACAGACTATAATCCCAGCTTCTCAGGAGGCTAAGGCATAAGAATGCCAAGCTCAAGGCCTGTAAGTTTGGTAACATATCAAGACAGTGTTAGGAATGAAGGGAGGAAGGGAAACAGAGGAGAGGAAGAGAGAGAAGTGAGAGGAAGACAGAGGATGGAAAGGGAGAGAAAGAGGAAGGGAAAGAATGGGGGGATAAATGTTTTGCTCAGTGATAGAGTACTTGCCCAACATGCAGAAGGTCCTGAGTTCAACCCCAGCACTACTAAAAAAAGGGAGGGAATATTGTGGCTCTTGGTTTCAGAGGTTTCCATAGTCCTTTGCTTTTAGGCCTATAGCAAAGCAGAACATGCTGGCCTAGAAGCAGAGGAGGCAGAGGATTCGTGGCCTTGTGTGAAAGATGCCATTTGAGGGCCCTTCCCTGCAGCCCTCCTTCCTCCAAGGAGGCTACACCTCCTAATGTTTCCCACCTCCCAACGCACCCTTGCCCTGTGAATCCATACCTGAACTGACCCACTGAGGAGCTCAGAGCACCTGGGATCCAGTCACTGCTCAAAGGCTCCATCCTGCTGTCCTGGGGACCATGGCTCTAACATGGGACACCGGGGAGACATTTAAGATCCAAACCAACACCACCAAGCACCTAACTGAATGATCCATCCAAGTCCTCTGACTCCAGAAGAGCAACCTGATAGCCATGTGACATAGTTTATACCTTTTAAATAGTCCTGTCCTAAAGAAGGACTTTTTTCAGAAAAATATCACAAGATACCATACATTTGACAAGTGAAGCCTCCATGTTAGAACAAGAATGATCCAAACACCCTCAGCCTTGTCTTCTAAGCTGATGGTCTGTTTGGCATTTCAGTTACATCATGTCTTTTTTAAAATGTATAAGTACTAGGATGCTGAACTCAGTATCTCACATTCGCTAGACCAGGGCTTATTTAGCTGGGATTACAGAATATGTGCAACTACTTCTGACTCATTTGCTGAGATGGATCTCACTAACTCCCTCCTCCCCCAACACACACACACACACACACACACACACACACACAGGCTGGCCTAAAAATTCTTCTAAGTTTTTGCTTTCCCAGTTAGCTGGGATTATAGGTGTATGTCACCATGCCTGCTGAGATCTTTTGTCTTAAGTAATAAAAAGAAGTCTCCATCTTTCAAAAGTTGCTTTTTTCATAAACCTGTTTAAGTTGATTTGCACACCATCAAAATGTCAGTCCATTCTCTCTCTACCACTTATATGACCATCTCATCTGTATCTCTTATCAAAAGACAGAGTTTTTATGTCATAAAATGCTTTAATGCCATAAAATCCAAGTTATTTTTCTTTGGAAACAATACAGCCAAAACACTATTATCTTGATTTTCTATTTGGATCAAAACTTAAAGGAACCATAAAGGATTCCCACACACTCAAAGAAAGAGAAGGAAAGACAAGGAAATAAAGTGAACAACCAAGCTGGGTGCCAGTGGCTCAGGCCTATAATCCTAACTACTCAGGAGGCTGAGAGCTAAGGATCATGGTTCAAAGCCAGCCCAGGCAGAAAATTCTATAAGCTTCTATTTCCAATTAACTACCAGAAAACCATATGTGGCACTGTGGCTCAAAGTAGTAGAGAGCTAGCCTGAAAGAGCTCAGGGACAGTGCCCAGGCCCTGAGTTCAAGCCCCATGAAAAAAAAAAAAAAAAGGACAAAGGAAAAAAAAGAGGAAATAAAAAGAGAGAAAGGAAGGAAGGAAGGAAAGAAGGAAGGAAGGGAGGGAGGGAGGGAGGGAAGGAAGGAACAATCAGATCCACAGAGCAATATCAACCCATATGTCTCAAAGCCCATATGGGGTTCATGTAAATTCAGAGTATGATAAGAGACATTCCCCCTGCTCCCTCCTTTCATGTGAAGCAGAACAGTATGTAGATCTGACTACTATGGACACTCCAGCAACTGGACTCTCAACACTCATATCTTTGATCAGCACTGCAAAGAGCCAACTAAAGATAACTGAGCAGCAGGGTGGGCTTGCTGCCTTGCTTGAAGAGTTCATCCAGGTATTTTGTCATCCAAGTGCTTGCAGCCTGACTAGACCCAAGTCTGAATGACAACATCAGACCTTCTTGTGTCATCCCTTTCTCATGTCTGACACATGCAGTTGAAAAACCAGGGGTTTATAACACTGGGATCATTTTCCAGGCTTTCTATGGTCGTGGTTTTCTCTGGCTTCCCACTGGTACTTTCTCCTCTCCATACAAGATGACTCTAGTGTAGCTCACTTGACATCCCCCTCGTTTTATTTTAATTCCACAAATCATTGTACCACATGGCTGCTACAGGTAGCCATTCTGTTAAAGGCCCAGGACTCCCGCCTCCTCTGTGATTTCATGTTCACAGTTTTAATTACTTTTAGTCAACCATTATCCAAAACTACTAAATGGAAAATTGCATGTAAAAGAAATTCAGAAAGTTTAAATTGTGTGCTGTTCTGAGTAGCATGATGAAACCTCTGCCTGCTCCTGTTTCCTGTCTCCTCGATGGGAACCACACCTTTATGTTATGCAGAGCATTCATACAGTACATACTACCTGCCCATGAGTTGCTTAGTGGGCATCTCAGTGATCAGATCCATGTATTGTCATCATCCTTTAACAATGTCCCCAAAGCAAGGATGGCAATTTGTATATGCAAATTATAAAAAGCAGAAAATCATTATATCTAAAAAGGTACGCTAAGGTTATTTTAAAAAAAAAGAAACCACATTATATGACTCTTATTATAGTATGTTGTTATAATTGTTCGTTACAATTGTTTATTACTATGATTGTGGTTAATCTTTTCCTTTCCCCAATTTATAAATTAGGCTTTATCAGAGGTGTCTATGTATCAGGAAAAAAACAAAAAACAAAAACAGTACGTTAGAGCTCCATGTCCTCAAGCTATCTGCAGATTCAGCCAGCCACACTTTGAAAATATTCGGGGGGGAGGGGGAATGCATCTACATTAAGTGAAGGGGTTGGGGATATGGCTTGGTGGTAGAGTGCTTGCCTCGCATGCATGAAACCCTGGGTTCAATTCCTCAGTACCACATGAACAGAAAAAGCCGGAAGTAGTGCTCAGGTGGTAGAGTGCTAGCTTTGAGCAAAAGAAGCTGGGGAACAATGCCTAGGCCCTGAGTTCAAGCCCCAGGGCTGGCAAAAAGAAAAAAAGATTCAACATTAAGAGAACATGGCAAGAGGGCTTTCCCCTCTTGTCACTTCCTCAGCAGCAGAGTAAAACAGCTTTTCCATAGCATTCACATTGCCTTAGAGATTATAAGTAATCTAGAGATCACTTAAGGAGGATATTGTAGGTTATATGCAGAGCTCTACACCACTTGAGGGACTTGATGATCTTAAAATTTGGCATCTGGAACTGGTCTCCATGGATACCAGGGGACAATTTCTATGTTGAGTTGGATACTATCTGTGGTTGTAGGCATAGGGGTTTGGGGGCATGGCACCCACGGCTAAAACAGGACTGCTGAATGAGAAAGAATAGGGGTGAGTCACTGAGCTTGGCAAATGATTGAAACCTACCCATTGCACCTGTCTTCAAGGTAATGTCTTGCTGTCCAGCATTCTTCATTGGGTCTCCAGGCCTCCTGTGATGTCTCCCATCTCTTCTCACCCCTCCCACTGCCTCTGCATAGTCTGTCTGTCTTCTCTCCCAGGTAGACAGTGGAAACTTCAGAATCTTGTCCTTGTACCAAATTATGTTAACCTAGGAGGGGGCAGTACCTTTCAGACTGAAGAAGGCAATCAGCATAAACTAGAAACTCTTACCTGAACCAAGCACCGCCACTCCCTATAACTCGGCCCCCTGCATGCTAAGTGCATAGTGTGTCCCACCCATTCCTAGAAGTCCCAAGTTCCCAGATCTACTCACAGCCCTCTAAATGACTGGACCTGGACAGTTTCCACCTCTGAATTCTTACCCTCTTCTTCCTTCTCTCAGATCGCCCAGGGTTGGCCTGTGTGGAGAGAATAGAGAAATACCAAGACAGTTTCCTGCTGGCCTTTGAACACTATATCAATTACCGAAAACACCACGTGACACACTTTTGGCCAAAACTCCTGATGAAAGTGACAGACCTGCGGATGATTGGAGCCTGCCACGCCAGCCGTTTCCTCCACATGAAGGTGGAATGCCCCACAGAGCTCTTCCCCCCTTTGTTCTTGGAAGTGTTCGAGGATTAGACTGGATTCATTCTCATAATTCCTACAGCACTGCTGGGTGTCATTTCATTCCATTGCCTAAGCTCTCTGTTTGTTTCCTTGTTTCTTTGTGTCTGGAGGGAGTGTGTGAGGGGAAGGGAGAAGTCCTGGCCTAGACATGGATGAAATTGCCCCTCAAATGCGGGTACTTGTCACTATTGCATTTAGTTCTCCTGTCCTTGGATGTGAATGCTTTGAAGGTTTCACAGCAGTGGCAGTAGAGGTGGGGTGGGGAACGACCATTTCACCAGCATTAAGCCATCACCAGCTCCCACCTGTCCCTAGTCAGAGACCTGAGCAAGAAGAAAAGCACTGCAGAAGACTAAAGAAGCCTTAAAACCAAGACAATCTAGTTTAGTCTAATCCAATCCTGATTCTTTTTCAGGGCTCAAGTTAACAAACAGAAATCACCCACTATTAGTTAGATGTGACCTGTAGCTTTTCAGGGGAAGATTCAAACTAATTTTCACTCTTCGGGAGCGTGTTGCTTTCGGTATTCTTCTTCCCTCCTAGCCACATAACTTAGAATGCATAGGAATATTTGCATCCTGACATATCAGCCATCCTTTCAATATCATTTTTGAAACTTTTATGATTCAAGTTGCACAAGGGAGTGTCTCTAAGGTGTGCAGGAATTTGACTGGTTGGGGCCACAGGAAAATAACTTTTTTCAGTGAGCCCCTCCCCCAAATTAGGAATCTTTACCAATGTCAGTGACTCTGTAGTTTCCAAACCTTCTCCTCACAGCAGGAAAACTTCAGGAAGACTTGTCCGATGAGTTTAGGCTCCCAGGACATTCCTACAGAAATCAGACCTACTTATAGGGAAGTATCACCACTCAATTGCATCTGATTTGTCTTCTGAAGTTACTTGTCCAAGCTGCATTATTGCTGAGCTAACAGAAGATTTCTTCTCTGTGGATCAAGTCTTCTAATCAAGGAGCAAATGCAGAGTTGAACTCTGGGGTCTCGTTGGGATGAATTCTGGGGAGAGGTTAGTGTAGTTGCATCTGAAATTGAAGGAAATGCAGGGTTCCTGTACCGTAGTTGGATGATACTGCCTTCTGTTCTTAGACCCACAAGCCCTTTGCTTTATTCACAAATATTTCCTAGTCTCCTTTTCCATCAATTCTGAGGCACTAAATAGCTCAACTCTTTAAGCTATTTGGCAACTCTCCTTGTCAATGAATCTCCCATTCTTTCAATAACATTACCCTGACAGATACTCAACAGAAAACTCCTGTGGACCACTGGTGGGAACACTCTTAACCTCCATACCCAACTCACCCCTCCAATGACCAATGAGAGTAGCTGTGCCCAGAAAACAAATGGTAACACATCATCACTTTAACACCAGACAATTGGCAAAGAATGTACCCATGCAATTGAATGTATCTCCTTCTTCACCGGCATAGTAGATATGAACTATTCCTTGCCTGCCTTTTACTGCCTTATCCTGGAAATATTGGGGAAAATAAGCCATATCAGTGAAATTTACCTAAAAGGAATGAAAGTCACTGTGAAAACCAAGTGGAAAATTTAATTTCAGGTTTGGTGGAGCATAACTGGAGAAATCAGAGTGCCTGAGTTCTAGTTTATGCTCTGTCAGCTGGTAGATTCGGGACCTCAGGTCTTGGGGTTTTGGGTTTGTTTTTGTTTTTTTTTTTTTAATCTGAATAAGGTATGATCTCCAAAAGCCTCCTGATCCTCAATATTGTATAAAATTATGTAAGGGACATAGGGTTCTTTTGATGATTTCTTTCCTTTTCAAACTTCTAGCTTATTACACAAAAAAATAGGGCCCATTAGCAGTTAAGATATTAATTCAAAGTAAGAATGACACAATTCTAGTTCACTCTTTTGAGGAAGGCAGAATGGCCTTGTAAAAAGGAACAGCACTGAAAATCCCAAGTACGATTGGAAACAATGGGGGAGGGTGGCGGGGAGGGGAAATGTTTGATGCACTAAATCAACTACACTGGCTTCTGGAGGAAAGGAAACAAGAAAAGCAATGTGAAGGGATTAAAATGGTAAGCATGAAGTTCATCGCCAGATTGCCTGCTTTGAGTACCTACAGACCACTGGCTTCATTTTTTGTCCCGCAGGCTCCTTACTTGCTCAGAGACCATATTGGCTCCCTCTATTCACTCTCCTGAGGGAACTCTGAAAAACAAGCACTCAGCACTCTCTAGGGAATGGAAATAGTTTACTGTGGGAGACAAATTTTCCTCCCAAAGGGAAAGGGGGGCAAGCAGGTGAGTTGCTGAGCAAGCTCAGAAACTCCATCAGGGTTGCTCAGGAAAGTTGCTTCATTGATTTGGCTGGTCTCCTAGAACATTAGGCACCCATCTCAGTGCACAGCCTGATCTCAAAGCAACATCACGATGTTCTGAGGATGTAACCACTGCTGACCCCTGGCCAGATAGCTGGCACATTAGATCTATACCAGCCAGCCAGCCAGCCAGCCCCAACCCAAGTCTGATCCTCAGCTCCTTAAGTGACTGCTTTAAACAGGCAAACCACTGGTCTAGAAGCCTTGTTGAAGGCTGAATACTTCGTGCTGGGTAGAACAAACCTGAGGGTGCTTCCAATTGAAAGGAAAACGTGTTCAGGACTCTAAGAATCCTGATGGATGGAGAGATTAAACTCATTCCTTCTGAAGCTGGTTGGGATACTTAGTGCATCTTAAGATTCCCTCTTATAAAACGCAATTAGATTGAGGTATTTGTTCTGATTTTATTTTTTTCCTTACCACTGTTCAGACTTTCAAATCAAGTGTGGACCATAGTGGGGAGTCATAGCTTCCCGCCGAGGAAAGCACAGCCATCGTTCTGGGGTTCTTCTTTAGAAATCACTCATTTGTAGGGATGCGTAGGGGTGGGTACACACACTCTGCCTGTGTGTGTATGCACAGACACGTGTGAACAGGTGTGTTTGTACACTCAGGTGTACCTTGCTCTTCAACTTAGATGTGAAGAACTTCTAGAATCTAAACCAAGCTCTTTCCTTCTTTACGATTCTGCTGAAAAACATCACGTGCGGCCTCACAGCTTTTTCTAGTCACAATCTTCAATGACGCGCCTGACATGTTGCCACCTCAGCCCAGCGCTGCCGCCACCTGTGCCCTAAGTGTCACCAACTTGGTCTGCAGCTCAATCCTGAGAGGGGGCTGCCTGGCCCAGCTCTGCTCTGTGACAGGTGTATTGGCCTTGGCCTCCCTCCACACAGCTCCCCCAGCCCCCACTCCCAGACTCAGCCTCGTGGCCCTGCTGAGCCCCTCAGAGCATGACATTGTCGTGAGACATCTCTATTCTGTGGAACTCTTAACCTGTTTGTGTCATATTGACCATTTGCTGCATGAGTCATAAATGATGAAATCAGTCTTATCATGGTTTTTTTGAAATGTAGCCAGCGTTTGTAAGGTTAAACCTTTTTCTCATGAACTTAATTTAAGTGAATAACCAAGCCACAGTTCCTCCTTAAAAGGAGAGTTGGCAGACATTCGAATCTCTGCCCTTTCTAATGGTGATGGCATCAGGTTCTAAAATAAGCTCATAATTTTCCTGTTATTTTAATAATATGAAAATATTAGCATTAGTGCTTCTTTTAATAGTGACAGGCTATAATCCATATGTAAATTTTATAGAGAAGAAATTTTATTGTACTGTGATGTAGATATTTATTATCCAGGTAAGGATTTGCCCGGTGTGTATTTTTTACAATTGAAATGTTTCACTTTAATCTTTAAAAAAAAAATACATTAAAAAAAACAGACTAGGGAGAGGGAAAAAAAAGGTTTGGCCTTATTACAGAATTTTTACTGTGCTGTATAAATATTTGCAGATGCAAAAAGTGTGCATTTCTAGTGTGTTTCCACATTAACTAATGCCGCCTTCAAGAGCAATACCGTGCAGGTAAAATGCTGTTTGTGGCTTTCTGTTGCTCAGCTCAAACTGATTCCCCTTATGCACAAGACAATCAGAAGTCAGCCTGTACTCCTCAGGGCACAGGTAGCGCTCACATAGGCTATGGAGCACAACGTAAGACAGGAGACACTGTTGCATGCATTCTGGATACAGTCACTATCAGGGCATGATGAGCTGACATGACTTACACCATCTCTTTCTTTTGGATCTTTCTTATGAACCCAACATCTTTAATGTGATTATAGAGCCAAATTCGTTCTCCACACTTTCTTCAGACTTCTCTGAAGCCTGAGACATTCCTCCACCCCATAAGGTTCTCATGCCCTGGAAAAAAAAAGATCAGAAAAAAAAATGCTACAGAAGAGAGAGGTTTACAATCTTTGGAAGATGTGTATTTTGTAAACAGTGTCAAGTGATCAAGTGATACTGCTAGGTTGGTTATAGATATTTTTTTCAGCCTAAAATTCTGTTGAAATCTGTGATCAAAATGTTTTAAACTATCCAAAAAGAAAATTTGTATATTTGGGGAAAAAATGGATTTTTACCTAGCTTTTGTATGCAGATATTAAATTGTAATTATGAACATAGTGGGCATAGATAAACTCATAAGCTTCAATTCTACAAAAGAGAAAAAAGAAAAAAAAAGAAAAACGTTCCATGGATATACTTGCCTGCCTCTTTCTTTAAATATTGTTGCTCTCTACATAAGCACAGAATTGCCTACGCCTGCTCCTGCCACAGGTGGTGAACCAGGTAAGGAACACTCATTCATGCCTATTAGGACAAGTAGATTCACTTGGGAGGGAGGAAGGGAAGAGAGAGGGGTGGGGCTGCTTGGAGATGATCCTTTTGGGAGGCTGGGAAAGAGTTAGGTTTTAGCAACTCAAGGACTGCATTCATTTTCTTATATCAGAAGGTTCTAGGATACTATTCATAGAATTATACCATCAGCCAACATATATCTCAATCTCCCTGTCTTGAAAATATTATTCTGGACTCTTTCCAAGACAAGTGACCAAAAAAAAAAAAAAAGCCAAGTCAAACCAGCTTAAACAGAACGGGAATTTTTGACTTCAGTATCTAGAAACTCTAGGGCTGCGGTATCTTGAGGCACAGTAGGGGCTCACTCAGTATTTCAGAAAGTTTTCCCCTTGGCCTTCCCTCCACAGAGACTTGATGTTCACATAGCCTTCCCATTTATGGTGGCCACCAGCAGCCGCAGGATTTGCTATACAACTCTCAATAAAATAGGCTTTTTTTTTTTTTGTCCCTAGCAATTCCAATGAAAGTCATTCCCCAAATGAAATCAAGAACCCATTCCCAGAACCATCACTATGATATAGAGAACCAATATGCTAATTAGGATAGATGGAACTAATTAGCTAAATCCTGTTAAATGTTGGGACTAGTAAGTTAGGGCAGGGATGACTCTACAGAGAATATTCTAAGTCTTGCTGATGCTGTAAGAAGTGAGGAAGAATTAGGCCCAGTGGCACACACCTGTAGTCCTAGCTACTCAGAAAGCAGAGATTAGGAGAATCATGGTTCAAGACCAGCCCAAGCTGGACATGGGACATAGTGGCTGGTACCTGTCATCCAGCTACATGAGAGGGCACCTATAGGAAGGCTGACATCTGAGACTGGACCCTAAAAATGCAAGAGCATACCTGGAAAATGCCTAAAGCAAAAAAGAGCTGAGGGCATGCCTTGAGTAGTAGAGAACCTTCTAGAAAGCACAATGCCTTTTGTTCAAACTGTAGTACCACAAAGGGGGTGGGGGGTGATGGTGAGCAAGCAAGGGCAAAAATTGGCTACATGGACAATTAAGGCAAAAGCAAACCCTCAGTGTACAGGACATTCAGGAAGATTTGGCTAGGACATGAACCAAACAAACACTAAAAATTGTTAGATCCATCCTTCCTGGCTCATGGAATAGCCAGTTCACGTATGATAAACTAGAGCAAACATGTGTTTCTCAAGGTTACAGCAGCGCAGACAGCTCTCTAGTCAGAGAACTGAGAATGAGTGTAACCTTTCCATTTGTCTCTTCTATGTTATGAACCTCCACACTCCACCATAGTCAATGTTTTTATATATTCTCAAAGTCAGCTGATTTAACTTTGGAGGATATGATTTATAACCCCTTTACCTAGACAAAACAAATCTCAAACTCACATCATTGACTACTAACTTGATTTGGAGAATGGTTCTGGCATCACCTCACAAATATCTAGATCATTCTAGTAATCTAAAGTGAAAAGGAGTTTTCCAGAATCACACAATTGAGTATCAGAGTCCATTAGCCTCTGAAAACAAGAGAAAAGGCAGCTCAGCTTTAGAAATATTTTCCATCCTAAAAGGCTTACCTAACCTAATGGGAAAATGGAGGGATGCTGGGCTCAGATGTCTAATACCTATAATCCTAGCTACTCAGGAGGCTGAGATTTGAGAATCACCATTCAAAGCCAGCCCCGGAAGGAAAGCCCAGGGGGCTCTTATCTCCAATTAGCTACCAGAAAGCCAGATGTGAGGCTGTGGCACAAGGTAGAGCACTAGTCTTGAGCAAAAAGAAATCTCAGGCACAGCCCCCAGGCTCTGAGTTCAAATCCCAGGACAGGAAAGAAGGAAGGAGGGAGGGAGGAAGGAAGGGAAAAAAAGAGAAGGAGGGAAGCAAAGAGAAAATCAAATTGTTGACAAATGCATGGAGCAGGACAATTTCTTGGAGAACTAAATGAAAAGGGACTAGCAGGTATCATGTTACTATGGAACTGGAGAGTCCCAACGCAAAGAGGAACTTCATAGTGATGTAAGTTTCCTACAGTAAAGTAATATCCTACAGGGGTTAGTGTGTCTAGTTTCAAAAGAGCTGAGAGCATAGGTTTCAAAGCAGGTTCACCTGGCTCAGAAGGGAGGGCTCTGAGCTGACAGCTGGTGGATATATTTCTTCATACTGCACACAGACAGGGAGATAAATTGAAGAGCCTTCTGGAATTTTCCACAGAAAAATAACGAGCCTCTCTTACCCAACCCCTTCACCCTCATTTGCAATGAAAGACAGCAAAAAAAAAAAAAATCTCCAAGTCTTAGCAAACCAAACCCAAAGTATTCCAAAGTAAATGTGTATGATATTTGCATTATCGGAAATGCCACGGGATGATAATGAAGAACGTGCAGGTAGAAATCTGCTAGAAAATGATACAATATGCCATAGCAACAGAAGAGTCATATGGAAGGGAAGTCTAAATGGCTAACGATGATATGATTTGCGTCCCTATCTCACAAGTAATCAGAAAACTGATACCACATCATACCTGCAAACTAAACAGACAGAAAGTACATCTAGAAAGAAGCCCATCTTTTGTTTTGGTTTTTTTTAAAGGGGGGTAAACTGGTTCTGCTCATAGTTTCTGTAGCCATTGATTTTATAGAGAGTAACCAGTCCCCCTACTGGAGGACCATTCCTACAAACGGCAGGAGAACCAGGGCATTATAGATGGAACTAGCAGGGCCGTTGAGTTCAGGCTAGGAAACAATGCAAATGCAGGCTAGGAAAGAAAAGGAGGCAAATGCCAGGTAGAAAGCTCCTCCCGTGGGAATTTCTGCAGCCCTGAAATCAACCTGCAGCCTGAAATATGGAAGAAATCAACCAACACCCATAACAGAATAGCATTTATGTAAGACTACAAACAACGTGCAAAAGGAGCAGCACAGGTTTTACTTGAAATCATACAGAACCAAGCACATTTATCCAGTACATTACTCTGGGTCCCTCTGTAAAAGAGATAAAGGAAAAAATGAAAAAAATAGAAGGACACTGACAGGATACTGTAATGCTTTTGAGGAGTCATGAGAGGAGGAAGATTACCTGATGTTCCTCTACCTGAGGCCTCCCTTACTCCCCCAAACTGCCAAATTTCAACCATCTTTTTACTATCTCTTCCCTGGGTCGCCCACATTACAGAATTTCTACGTGATTATGATCATTCAATGACCAATCCTGAACCCTGCTTCAGAATCAGAGATAAAAAGGAGGGGGAAAAGAAAGGGAACATCAGTCACCGTTGATAAATGGCCTTCCAAATGCAGAACCTAGTTTTGTAATCAATAACATTTAATGTGAAAATCCACTAGATAAGAGAGAAAAGGCTCTAGCTGAAAAAGGCCACCCATTAAGCCACCCTCAACGATGTCACAACCAGTCAGTCTCTAGAGACATACTTCTCTATCAGACTCTGAAAACCCTTGGTGGCCCTCTGAGCAAAATCCAGGTGACAAGTAGGTGACCAATGTGAGTTGGATGCTGTCACTCGATCTCTTTAATGTTGTCATTTTTGTTTTTTGTTTTTGTTTTTTGGTCGGTCATGGGGCTTGAACTCTGGGCCTGGGCGCTGTCCCTCAGCTCTTCAGCTCAAGGCGAGCGCTCTACCACTTGAGCTACAGTGACACTTCCTCGATCTCTTTAATGTTGTAAACAGTTCAACGAGACAGATTCTGGGCCTGGCTGTGCTGCCTGTGACAAGAACAGGAACGTGAGAGTTAGCCTTTTGCTGCCATTACTCCTGACTTATCCCCAAAACCAAATCAGTAAGTCTCTTACTTTTATGATCCTTTTATGTATTAAGTGCTAATTTTAGCCAAGAAATCATTATGCACATTTAAGCTGTTTCTATATTTCCCCAGTTCCTTTCAATTCAGCAGCCTTATATGTCAGGATTCCAACCATTTAATAAGGAATACATCCATGGAATTGGGAAGAGTATACTTATACAACTTGAGATGGCATTTTAGCTCACACTAAGCCAGCTAGCTGCCAAAAATCTAAGTGTTTAGTCAGTATCAGCTTACATGGAGAATTATGTCAGTCTGGTTTGGGCTAATCCTAGCTATTCAGGAGGCTGAGATCTGAGGAGTGAAATTTGAAGCCAGCCCAGATAAGAGGCTCATAGACTTTCCTATCTCCAATTAACTACCAAAAAGCCAGAAGTGAAACTGTGGCTCAAGTGATAGAGCACCAGCTTTGTATAAAACAGCTCAGTGACAGCACCCAGCCCCTGAATTCAAGCCCCAGTGAACAACAAGATGACAATGATAACAAGGAGAAGGAAGAAGAAGGAAGGAGGTCTTAATTACTGTGTATATGGAGAATAAAGATCCCCATTATAACTCAAGGTGTCCAAGCAAAGCCTAGGCCATCAGCTGACAATGAGGTAAGAAGACTAGGGTCCTACAGGGAATGACCCAGATCACATCATGACTGTGTCTTCAGGGGTCTCTCCCTGCCTTGCTCTCCCTGCTGCTGTATGTTAAGTTCTCCACAAGGGAATATATGAGGTAAATCTCAGGCTCCAGAAGTTAGATCCTCTTACTTTGAATGTATAATTATTCCCAACAAAAGCAGATGATCCCAAAAAATAAAGTCTACCATCTGTCACTCTAGGCTTGTTATTCCTTTTAACAACCATCCAACCAGCTCCTTTGAAAACCTTCCCTGTAGCCATGAATCAGACTGGCTGATATGAACCATTAGCAGAGTCAAGGAGGTGCCAGAATCAAAGAGCACGAATCCAAGGCAAAATATAGCAAATAAATTCTAGGAACAGTCTGACACAATGGGGACATTATG